TCCTGATTATTCAAAATTCTAATGAGGACCAGTAGAGGCCCTGCAGATAAACATAATGTTTAATTGCTCATTTGCTCTGTCACCAGAATAAGCCTGTTTATATTACGGGTTTTTAGATGATGTGGTAAAGAGCTTTTGCAGGATATGCAGAAGACATGAGCAGATAAAATGGATGTTTCTGCATGGGTAGAACTAGCGTGACTTCACAAAACAAGAAATTCAAGTTATATTTAAAAGGCAGGAGATTTGGGTTCTTTGCTGGCTCTGCAACACTGATGCTTTAAAACCTTAGCTAGGTGTGAGACACACCATTCCTGTACAGATAACATAGGGCATCCCAAAGCTTTAATACTAGGGTTTGCAAGATATCTAGTTGCTTAAGGAAGGGTCTAATCTGTGATTAAAATCTGTAGCTCACTGTGCCTTAATTTACAACACAGTGATTGATTTTCAATAGGTTGAGTGTAGGTTGAGTGTTGGCAGACAAATCGGATAGCATTGTTCTTTTAGTAATGGTTAAAAAAGCTGATGGTTTGGAAGACTTGCCAGATTTTATGGCTGCGTCAGTTGTATATTATTGTTTATTAGAACTGTATTCTGCAGTAATTATTTAGTGACCAAATTTAGATTCCACATTAACTTGTGTGGATGTATTTTTATATAACTGGTTATAGTGATTTTAATGTTCAGGATTGTCACAGCCTGTACTGTACTTTAAGGACTACCTAAATAAACCTACAGAGTGTCTAATTAAAAACTAGTCTCTACTGGCACATCTAAGAGCTCCATTTTGACTTTTCATATTTTACATAAGAGGAAACTAATAATTGCTCAGGCTTTAGAAGTCCCTTTCTGATCTTTGAATCTTTAACATGACTGTTAATAACCTTGGAGTTTAGAGCACAATATTTCATGATATTTCAGTGATTGATGAATAGTTTAAGACAGTGTCCCTGAATAAGCTGAATATTAACATAAATTAATCTTTTAAACCCACTAGTTCAATTCTGTCTTCCTTTTACTAAATTTTAATAGAGTTATTCAAAGCTGGCTTCCATTATACAATGTAAGAATTGAGTTTGAACCAGTACTTTAACTCAGATCATTTGAAAAGTGACTGTAATAGATACGTGCTTTGTGTTTCTCAGTCCAGGGTTCCCATACAAGAGAGTCCAGTTCTTCATTTTTGTTTGAGCAAACCATTTGCCTTCATGCTGTCCTTGCTTTTTCTCAGTTCCTGCAAATGATTTCAGACACTCTGGGAAAGATGAGTTTAATAAAATCTATGTACACCTGTACTTTTGCAGATGTGAACAATCCTAAGTAGATTTTGTTCTTGGAAATCATCTGAATTGGTTTGCTGGAAAGATCCAAATATCTTTCTTCATAGAAGGGATATGTAAATACAAGATTGAGATCCATATGAAATATGTTTACATTTGTATAAGTATCTCACATAGGTATATTTGTGAAAGATATAAATAACCTCAAATTCAGGCACCATTTTTGTGAGAGCAGAATTGGAGGCTGGATTGGTCTGTTCAGAGGAAGTCAGTGGTGTTGAATTGGTAATGGAAGCACTTCTCTCTAAAATAGATGTAAGAGGAAAGGTTGGTTGAAAACCATAAATCTGTTTTCTCTTGAATAAGTGGTTAAGTTTGTGATTGGTTTGTGCCAACTGAGCCTGTCTCACTTACAGCCAGACATGGTACTTCTGTTCTACTGTTTGTGGGCAAGAGAAATTTATGGGTTTGATTTGTGTTTGTTTGTTTTCTTGTATAGCTCTGTGGAACAGTGGTAACAGAAACTGGAATCATAAAGGGGTAAGCAAAAAGCTTTTAGAGTGAATTCTAGACCTACTACTGCTTTCATATTTTTTAATGAAAACTGTTCTGTTTTCTTTAGCATTAATGCTGCAAGTTAAAAATAATTTTTCAAAAACTACTGAACCATATTCATGTCTGTATGAAAATCTGTGCCTTCATTCTTGTTGAATTACAGTATAATTCTGTCAAATTTTCCTGAATTGTATTTTGTATTTGTGGTTGTTTGCAGGCTATAGAAATGAGGCTCAAGATTCTTCTATGGGAATATATTGATATTCTTCCAAGTGCACTGGCATTTGCAATCGTCTTCAAAATACTGAGCCACTTGTTTTGTGAGACCTGTACTGTAAATCACAAATGTACTATTGAATGTTATGCCATAAGCTACTGTACAGGATATTTTGTGACCAGGGCACTGCCTCTCAAATACCACTGTTCAAGGCTTGAATTATTATATTATTATTATCTTTTTTCTTTTTTTTTTTTTTTTTTTCTACTTTTTTTTACATATAGCTTTCTATCTTGCATCACAGGATATAAATTAATTAGATTAACTGACTTTGCTTAGCAGTTTTCTGACAGCTGGTCAAATTCTTATCTTAAATTGTTGAGATGTGTTAAATACGGTACAGACACGTTTACATAAAAATACATTTTGTATACAGAGACTTTTGTATATATGTTTTTCTTAAAACATGTAAGTGTTTAGTTAAGATTTTAATATTGTATAGTACGTTTCACAAATGAATTTACCAGCATGATCAGTGTTGCTATTTGGTGCTCTTGAATGACCACTTTGGACTAAATTTTAAGTGTGTAATGGGATGCACAGTGTCTCTTTGTGTCTCTGAAAAGGTCAGTTGCATTTCTGTTTTCTCCCTTTTTTTAAATTATTATTTAATGTTCAGTGATTTTTGCAGTATAGACCTAAAAGGGAGATGTTTGGTTTGAAACTGTATTTGGGTGGGAGGGCTGGGAGTGTGCGTAATGCTTCATGCAGCAAAAAGCTAAGCTTTCTGGAGTTCAGTAGTATTCAAAAAGAGCATGAAAGATGTCATAATGTTGGTGATTTTTAGAATGCTTTACATCCTGTCCCCCTTTTCCTCGTTTGTACCCACTTCTTTAACATCCTTAATAGCACCACTGTTCAACTGTACTTCTTGCAGAGGCCAGTGATAGTAATTTGTCTCACAATTTCCAAATATGATTTCCAACATTGAAGTTCAGGCATTTAGCAACTGGAGTTAATGTTTCTACTGTTAGACTTACTGCCTTGAATTTAGGCATACGAGTGTGTTGCTGAATTAGTTAACAGCAGAATTCATCAAAAGGGCCACAAGTGTTTATCTTACTAGCGTAAAACTTACAGTGTGTGAAATAATTGGGCATACTGATCTCCAGTAGTGTCTCTTAATAGGTCAGTATTCACTGGTTTGAAGTATGTATAATCCTGAAAATCATTCACATAACTATTAAAAAAATGCTGACAAGTCAACCAATCTTTAATCTGCAGTAACCTTATTTTTTTTATTTTTAGGTCATAAACTGAAGCATTTCTAATTGACAGTATGTAGCATAATGTGTATATGTAATGTTCAGAACTGTAGATTTTTAAAAGCTTCTATTTTTAATTTGAGATGTTCCCAGTTCATTTAAATAAAAAATAATTTGCTTAACTAGCTGATGTTTGATTCTCGCTTGTTTTGTCACGTAAATATTTCAGAATATTTGCAATTAGTTAAAAAAAAGATGTTTTTTAAGATTTTTACCTCAGTAACAAATTTTTGATGTGCATTTTACTTTTTGTGGAGACTTCATCTCATGTAAGAAAGAAGACCAAGGACAGGAGCAGGAAAGACTGAAAGAACGTCGACCCCATGTGAGGGAGCTTCTAACTTCCACAAATGATGTGATTTATGCAGAGATGTAGGACTCAAGCTAATGAGCTGTGGGGGATACTTATCCTGCAATAATACTTATCCTTATCTTACTCATAGAATCACAGAATGGCTGGGGTTGGAATGGACCTCAAAGATCATTTAATTCCATCCCACCCCCCAGCTCAGGCTGCACAAGGCCCCGTCCAACTTGGTTTTGAACACCTCCAGGGATGGGGCATTCACAACTTTTGTGGGTAGCCTGCTCCATTGCCTCACTACCCTCTAAGCAAAAAAATTGTCACTGTCTGCACATTTAAAAAGTCAGTCTCCTTCCAATTTTTAAGCTCTCTTCAAGTACTAGATGGCCACAACAAGGTCTCACTGGAGCTTTCTCTTCCCCAGGCTGCACAAGCCCACGTATCTCAGCCTTTATTCAGAGGAGATGTTCTCCAACCCTCTAAGCATCCTCTGGACCTGCTCCAACAGCACTGCGTCCTTCTTGTGCTAGAGGCCCCAGGCCTAGACACAATGCTGCACTCAGGGTCTCATAAGGGCAGAACAGAGAGAGACAATCCCCTCCCTCTTCCTGCTGGCTACGCTTCTGTTGATGCAGCCCAAGATACTTTGCCCTTCTGGGCTGCAAGTGCACTTTGCTGGCTCAGGTCCAACTTTCAGCCATCATGACCCCCCCCCCCCCCGTCGAAGTCCTTCTGAGCAGGGCTGCTGTCACTGAGTTCTTCTGCCAGTCTGTAGCCATATCTGGGATGGCCCCAAACCAAGTGCAACACCTTACACTTGGCCTTCTTGAGTCTCATTAGATTCACACGTACATACTCATCCAGAGGTAGCTGCATAGATTGTTTTGGCACTTTTATCTTTTTTACTTCAAAATTGCATTACAAGTCCTGTCTTGAAGATAGCTGTAAAGCAGCTGGAGAATGGAAAAGTCCTGTTCAAAATCAGATATGACATGTTCATTCTGGATAGGAATGTGCTTTTCAGTTATACAACTATCGTTCTGTATTTAACTGCATTTACAAGATTTGTCTTGTTACCTTCATGAGAGTTCACAGCTTATTCGACACTTCCTCAGGCTATAAATTATGGGTGCATGCCTACTGAAGGGTGATTTATTATTTAAATAAATATTAAAAAAAAAATTACATTCATCCCACATGTGGCTGGAAAGAGGCTTCTTTGTGCACCAAGCCTTTAAATTGAGAGCAGCCGGGTACTTACTACTACCACTTTTTCAGATCATTTTGCTGAAGGATCGCAGTCAGTTCCGCTTGCCATGAAGAGAGTTGCTCTTCTTTTCCTGGTAGTGATCTGTAGCATGGGAGGATTGGGACAAAAGATGAAACCAAAGAAAAGAAGCAATGGTGAAGAAATCAATTTTCGGACTAAAAACAAAGATGTCTGCACAATGAGCATAAGTGGGGATGAAGAGATGAAAGCAAGAATTGAATGCAAAGGCCAAGGCAAGTCCTACTGGTGTGAATACACTGGTATGCCATTGCTTTGTAATCCTTTCCGAAACAATCCAAAAATGTATTGGAATCAAATCGCCGTGGAACTCAGAAAGCTCCCTCATGCCTGCGAATCTACACAAATATTGAAGGCCAGCATGTGCCAAAAGGCTCCTGTGGATGCTCTCATGAAGCAAGTAGCTGCTGGTATGGGGCCAGAAGATGTGGCAAATCGGGACAAATCATCCCAGAAAACTTCAGCTTCTGTGAGAGGAGCTGGGAAGAGCTCTGTTAAGAAAATGGGGAAACCTGCAATGTTACCTCGTATAAAACCAACGCAGCCTGGTCAAGGTTCTGAAAACGAAACCGAAGCAATGAAACTGGCACGGGAACATTGCTGGGAATCCCTGCATGAGTTCTGCTCCTACATTATTGGCTTCTTTAGAGGTTAAGGATTTACTTCAGGTAAAGCTCCATCTTGCAGCACAGTAAAATGTATCTAAGAGTAACCCTGCCGTAATTCTCTTTATTTTAATGTTGGGGATCTTTCAGGGGGCATGAATAGGGGTGTTCCAAGATCACTAACAAATCTAAAGTTGGAAATTCATACTGTGGCTTCTGAAGATTCACAGAACCTAAACTCCCCTGAATACCTGGTAGCTTAGGACTCCCTGACTGACTGTCTGAGTCTTTAGTACATACTGAGGTAATTGTTCCATCTGTTGATAACAAATTAGTGTCATTTTGAGCAACTTATACATTGCTGCATCTTAGAATTTATGTCTGAATCCTACAGTATTTCAATTCTAGCTGTTTGAATTGGGCTCATTTCTCCCTTCTGCCTTTTCTTCCCTCTTGCACTGTTTGGATTTAAGCCAGGAATGTGATAAATAACAAATACAACAGATGGATGGGAAAAGTGCAATTCAGATAATTATATTCAGAAGTTGGAAGAATAAAGTTTGTTTATCAGAACTGCTGCTTAGTAGTTAACCATTTAAATTTTAAAAGCAATTCATAATCGACTTGCAGAAATTAATAAAACCAAAAACTGCGTCTGTTTCTGTAGCCTCACTGTTATCCCCATGCAGACTCCTCTGATAAGTTCTCAAGTTTTCAGCCAAGCTACACAGTGGCAAAGCCCTCCAGAAGTAATTGGCTTTATACCTACTTACATTTCACCTCAGAGAGACTGCCAGGAGTAGGAAACTAGAGCTCAAAAAACTTTTGACAGAAATGGGAGTATACTTAGCATGAGCCAGGGCTTAGTCCGCTCATGTTCTTGGTTTGCTTCATACAACCAAGTGACTAATTTTTTCCTCTTTGTTTTGCAGTTTTTTCCACAACTGAAGAAGGGTCGCTGCTGTAGTTTAGTAACTCAGACTTAAGAATTTGGGTTTAAACTTGATCATCTCTATAAAAGTTGTAGCTATTTTCTCTTTGCACTCCTAAAATGAAACTTTTCAACAGCCCTGAAAGAAGCAAGAATCAGAGTAACTGTACTTGGATATGATGATAAACCGACTCCTGCATGTACTGCATTATGTAACTGAGGTTCCACTTCTGCTGGTCTTGAACAGGGCTTTGTGTGTGCTGAGCTGCTTTGCTGTGCTAGAGATGAGGGCTGTACATGATGCTACAGTTTAGGCAAACAATAAAATTAAGGATTTTGGAAACGTGCCTCATGTGCTTTCTTATCATCTTGAATAAATGATGGTACTTGTGTAAGGTTATGATACTTGGTACCTCTTTCTTAAAAGATTTTCACCAGAAAAAGTGGATTGCTTTTCCACTGTTAACATGTTTTCATTAATATTTTCAACATTGTTACATTCATAATGTAATAAGTTTCAGCCAACAGGAAAGACTTTGAAGAAATGGAGGAAGATTATAAGAGTGCATTTCTGAACAGAGTAAATTAGAAGTGCACTGCTGATGCAGCTGTAAAGTTTTGTGTTGTCAGGATCTGTGAGTAGTGACGTAATGCTTAGGTTCAAATCAGTATTCTGAAAGGTAACTCGTGTCTTTGTACTTATGTAAGTAAATATTCCCTGCACAGACTCCATCAAAACATAAAGCAAGAGCTAACAGCCTTTTATCAAAATTTACAAAGCACTTATGCTGTCTTTTATCTTATCTTCTATGTGAGCTTCTCAGCAAGGATGTAAATAAATAAATAAAAAAAAAAACTTGCTACCACAGACACTGGTAGCAGTCTATATTTGCAATTAAACAGTTTCTGCACTGCACAGTTAATTACTTAATCCATCTTTACTCACGGATTTGCAATTCTTGCCTCATAATCCTTGATTCCAGGGCTTGCCTGCCCAATCACTGAATGTTTTGCTTTGTTCTTACTATTTTACATAAAAGGCAAAAGTACAGCTTGAGTTCTGACAGACTTGACCTCAAGCAAGCGTATGTTTTTGTCACCCCTGAATCTAACCAGATTAGTCTTCATTTTGTAATTTATTATGCTTGTTAGGCTCTCGCACTGAACACCAAAAGCAGCAGAGCAAAGATTTACCTAACTCCTGATACAAAACACATGGCCATTACTGATTCTAGTTAGTAGAGGCCAAACATCATGTCTGTAGTGCATTTTTTCCCTGGGAAATCATACCTCATTTCAGCAGAGCAGAGCTGTGTGTGCTTGCTGTTGTGTTGCCCACAGTGGCTGTGTGAAGTTTCATCATTGAAGTGGAAATGAGTTCTTGTACCAAAGGCTCCTCATTCATCAGATGTTTTCTGCAAGATCCAAAATGCACGATTAAGCACTATACTAAACAGAAAGGTAAAGGTTTTGGCACCAAGGTGAAGGAGCACTTGGATTGCATTTGATTGGGCAATGCTATGCTCCTTCAGCAAGCCAGCTAGTTATAATGATGTTGCCACCAAATGGGATGTTAACTGAAATACCCGACCTTAGCCTAACAGTGCTGTGATTGTGTTGGCCACATTGCCATTTACCCATGTTCAGCACTAGAAATTTAATCACAATGTTTCAGTATGAAAGTGCTATTCATTAATGAAAGGATGAATTGAGATGTGTTTGTGGTGAGCTCAGCACACTTTTCAAGTACTCTGTGAATGAATGAAACTCGCTGTTTTATTCATTTTAGGTTAACCTGTTACTCCCTGAAGTGAGTACCAAAGGAAGTTTGCAGTTTGTCTTTATTGACAGAGGAGCTGCACACTGAAATATTTGTCTGGATTCCTGCAGCCAGGAAGTCCCCTAACATTAAGGGCAACTTCTGCTGTAATGTGGGGCAGTGTAGTGCACCTGCCTCAAGTCCTCACATTTAGGCTCAGACGGAAGCATAAACAAGTACTTGCTGTATCAACAAGGTAAGCTTCCAGAAGAGCAAAGCAAGACACCTTTGGAGAACTTTAGTGCAACAGGATGTGCATTTAGCACATGAAATTAAGATTCAAGAGTGATGATAATAAACTTGAGCGAGTCTAAGGAAGAGCCAACAAGATGCTTGGGGTTGAGGCATGCTCCTGTGAGGAAGGGCTGAGGGAACGGGGAATGGGTTAGCTTGGAGAAGGGAAGGCTTTCAGGAGACCTAACAGCAGCCCCCCAGCAACTGTGAGGAGGCTGAAGAGAATATACAGCTATGCTCTTCCCTGACCTGTGTGATAGAAGAGATGATGGTCATAAATGCTTAGAGGCAAGGTTCTGCCTTGGTGTGGGGAAAGGTGTTCACTGTGAGGACAACCGTGGAAGCTGCAGCATGGTCTGAATTCACTATGACCCTGCTTTGAGCACAGGTTTGGACTCTTCAGGGGCCTCCTGCTCTGAGTGATTCTGTGATTTACAGTGAAAATACAGGTTGGGGAAAAAAACACGTTAAAAATTCTGTATACCTGTTAGCATCCATGTCTCAAAAATAATAATAATAATAATAATAATAATAATAATAATAATAATACTCCTGGATCCACTGTACTGACTACACTGAGTCAAACAGCAGAATTTTATGAATTACTGCTTTCTAAAATTGTATGATGCTGTTACTATCTTAAACTTCATGTGTGGTGCTTCCACCTTTTGGTATGTATTTTTTATCTTGCCTGATTTTGATACTGGAAACAATTAACAAAGGATTCAGGTATTAAGGAACCTGTTTGCCAAAAAATCAATAATTTCCTTAGGCCTGAACTTAAGGAAATCTCTGCTTGCAATCAAATAGGTCTTTTGTGCTGAAGTAGACACACTCCTCAAAAAAGGTTTCTGTCTGTCTTCAGATTATCCCAACTAAGCGGTAGTGCACTCTGGTGTTTTCTGAGAGAACTGTTGAGTTCTGTTTGCCTTGGTCATTCTTGCATGATTTGCAATCTTACATTTTTCATTCTTGATTTTTTCAATAAGTGCCTTAGTTGATAGGGCGTGTATTTTAAGGAAAAAAGATCTTGCATGAAAAGACAACGGAGAGAATACTAAGATCTCCCAAAACTGCCTGTTGACATACCTGTTTCTTTACGAACTTAAGCACTGTTTTTGTTCCTCTTGCTGTTACTTCTTCCAGTCTCTCCCTTTTTCTCCAAAGATGAGTCAGATGCACAGACAGATTTCTTTTGGCTTCCTCTGCCCTTAAAAACAAGAGGATTGCTCTGATCAGACTTCACAGACGACTTTAAAATGACAAGAAGCATGTGATGTGTATAAAAACATGAATGACGAGATAAAGCAGAACAAATGCATTCAGATTGATCATAGAATCATTATAGAAGAAAAAGACCACTAACACCATCTAGTCCAGCTGCCAGCCCATCACCACCATATCACTGATCACATCCCTCAGTGCCACATCTACACGTTTCTTGAACACCCATCATGGACAGTGACTGCACCACCCTCTGGGCAGCCTGTGCCAATGCATCACCACTCTTTCTGAGAACAAATTTCTCCTAATATCCTACCTGAAGCTCCCCTGGCACAACTTAAAGCCATTACCTCTCATCCTATGTGCACCAAGATGCTATCTCATGGACACATACTGGTCATTCTGAGAATTCATTTCTTCACATCTCATGTACAAAGTTGAAGTTATAAATACTTGGCATGAAGGCAGCTGCTGAATTTTTAGGATAGCTGTATCTCAGTAAATCCAGGAGCTAGAAAAAAAAAAAAAAAAAAAAAAAAAAAAACGAAGCTGGCATCTGAGTTAGAGCAGAAGTTCAGTTTCTCTCCCTGCTTCCCTCTCCCCAACAGGTTAGGAAGGTGTTTGCACAGCCAGCTCCTCACCATAGGTGTCTGTGCTGCGGTGTGCCCCCAGCACCTCTGGGCTTACAATGATTGTAGTCAGGAGAGAAAACAGGCAGCCTTTTAGGTCTGTTGGCTGCTGGGAGAAAGTAACTGCAGTACTCAGTCACTGCTCTTGCTATCTGTAAAAATCAAGGTGCAAACTGTGAAATTTGTTACCTCTTTTATTTATCTTACATGGTG